TTTTGGTGGGATCTGAGGGTTTTTTGTGTGATTCTGCTGGGGTTTTTGGTGTGACCTGCTGGAGTTTTTGGTGTGATCTGAGGTTTTTGGTGGGATCTGAGGGTTTTTGGTGTGACCTGCTGGGGTTTTTGGTGGGATCTGAGGGTTTTTGGTGTGACCTGCTGGGGTTTTTGGTGTGATCTGAGGTTTTTAGTGTGACCTGCTGGAGTTTTTGGTGTGACCTGCTGGGGTTTTTGGTGTGACCTGAGGGTTTTGGTGGGATCTGAGGTTTTTTGGTGGGACCTGCTGCCCTTCAGCCCAGCCCCACGCCCGGGCCCTGCCCCGTCCCGGTTTCAGCGTGGGTCCCGTGTCCCAGCCGGGGGCTCGGGCCGGCTCTGCCTTTTCCCTCTCCCTCCTCCAGGCTGGACTTGTCTCCCTGCACCAACCTCCGCATCTCCTCCCAGGCCTCATCCAGGTGCCGGCAAGGACGGATCCAGCGGAGGAAAAACCCTGCGAGGGAAGGAGCTGGCCTTAGCTGCGCCCTGCGCTCAGGGACTGGGATTGCTGTGAAACCCGAGGGGTTTGGGCACACAAAATGCAGGTTTTAGGGACGGCACGATGGCGATGAGGGCTAAGCAGGAGCTCTGAGATTTGTCAGCACAAAAGTTGTACAGGAAGTAGAGAGAAAAGTCAAATAAAACAAGAGTGTATTAGTGGTTAGGTGAAATAGCTCGCTGAGTTATAGAAAAGTGTATTTGGTGAGAGATTAGGAAGTTCTAAGCTTAATGATAGAGTTCCGTGCATTGTATCTTAAAGTTTATAAGCAAATATTGTATTTAAAATAAGAGAGTATTGTTTTAATGCGAGGTGTTGATATATATTTATATTTATACTTATATGTATGTTTATATTTATAGTTATAGTTGTAGTTATATTTGTATTTACATTTGTACTTATATTTGTATATATATTTTATAGTTATATTTTATACTTATATTTATTGTTGTATTATATTTATATTTATTTATAATTATGGTTATGGTTATAATTATAGTTATAGTTATATTTTATAGTTATATTTATTTATATTTATATGTCTATTTTATATTTTATATTTATATTTTCTATTTATAATTATATTTGTATTTTATATTTATAATTATATTTGTGTTTGCATTTATACTTATTGTTATATTTACAAATATTTATAAATATTTATAATTTTATACATATTTATATAGTAATATAAACATTAATATATAATATATAAACATAAATATATTATTAATATTTAGATATTAATATAGATTATAAATATTTATATATTAGTAGATTATAACTATTTCGATATTAATATAGATTATAAATATTTCTATATTAATATATTATGAATATTTCTGTATTGATATATTATAAGTATTTCTATATTGATATTATAAATATTTATTTTTATTTTTATATTTATTTTTATTTTTATATTTATTTTTATTTTTATATTTATTTATATTTATATTTATATTTATATTTATATTTATATTTATATTTATATTTATTATATTTATATTATATTTATATTTATTATATTTATATTTATATTTATATTTATATTTATATTATATTTATATTTATATTTATATTTATATTTATATTTATATTTATATTTATATTTATATTTTATATTTATATTTACATTTACATTTATATTTACATTTACATTTACATTTAATTCATATGCGTATTTACACTGATTAGCTAGAACTACTGTCACTATATTTTTTCCCCTGTGCGTGACTAGCCAAGAAGCTTTTCCATTCTTTAAACCCATTCACTCCTTGTGCAGCTCAGGCTGGGAGCTGCTGCCGCGGCGCTTCGGGAGGAGGCCGCTCACCGTGCCACAGCTGGATGCCCTGGGGCTGCCCGCAGGGCCACAGGGGCAGCGGGTTGTGTGAGTAGAGGGGGTTCAGGTACTTGTGCTTCTCCTCGGGCTGCTCCAGCCGGGCCCACAGCGAGGGCGTGCGCTCCCTCAGCCTGCACAGCCTCCTGCGGGACACGAGGGACACGCCGCTGCTTCCGTGGCACCTGGCGTGACACGCAGGGGCCTGGCCCCACTCCTGTCGGAATCCGTGCTATTGATGATCCTGAGGTTCTAAACATTCTGTCTTTCTGCCCCGCTGCCAAAGCAGAAGTCATTATTTGTGCTGGTTTCCAGGTTGTTTATTCTGTTTATCTCTCACATGTTCTCCTGCCCTGCCCAGCTCTGTCCTGCAGGGCAGCGTGTGGGGCTCTGCCCTCAGTGGGATGTGACAAACATTCAATACCAGAAACTCCCTGGGCTGGATTTACAATAACGTGCCAATATCTGTCATCTATATTGAGCAATGTGTTCCCAACGTAAACCCAGTCTCCAGTTTATGGTATATAATGTTACAAACATTATATCTGGTACATAATGTTACAAACATTTTACACCAGAAACTATGTGTGCTATATTTACAGTAACATGCCAATATAACATCCCTCAGTGGGATGTTACAAACATTATATATTAAAAATTACTGTGTGCTGTATTTACAATAATGTGTCAATGTAACATCCCTCAGTAGGATGTTACACATTAAATACCAGAAACTAACTGTGCTATATTTGCAATAATGTGCCAATATCTATCATCTATATTGAACAATGTTTCCCCAGCCTAAACCCAGTCCCAGTTTATGGTATATAATGTTACAAACATTATATCTGGTACGTAATGTTACAAACATTATACACCAGAAACTCCCTGGGCTGGATTTACAAGAACGTGCCAATATCTGTCACCTACGTTGGACAGTGTGTCCCCAGCCTGAACCAACAGAAAAATGCCAACACCACAGTGAGACATGGAGGGCATGAAGAAGGAGAAAAAGGACAAGGCACACCCAATTTCCTCCATCTGGTCCCCTTTGGACCCCTCATCTAGAATCCTAAAATTTTACTTTTGCACCCGTGCCACACTTAATTATTACTGATATCAAACACTCAAAGATGGTAATTCATCCTGTGAGATTGAAAACTCTTTTCCATGGACAGAGATCACAGCCAGGGTCTCTGGGGGCTCTGGACAGAGACACTGTCTGATCTCTGCCCATGGTCCCAGGGCAGCCAGAGGGAAGCTCTGGATTCCATCACACACCCACCTCTCCTTCTCGCTGTTGCACAGGAAGGTGCCGTAGGCCGAGGCGTAGGCGTTGTCGAAGAGGGTGAGGAGCAGCTGCTCCCCGAATTCCAGGGAGAAGGGGAACTGCCGGCTCAGCTGCCACACGCAGTCGAGGAAGAGGAGGAAAACCGGCGCCTCCCGCTTCCCTCGCGCCGGCGAGGCGGCCGAGCGGGCGCAGCGCAGCTGGAAGGGATGCCCGGCCTGCCCGTGGGGAGGTTGGGTGAGGGCACCCAGGTGAGCTGGCACCCTCACCCTCCTCCACATCACAAAAACAACTCTCACCTGGATCCACTCCCGCTCCAGCAGCGCCTGGAACCCCTCCAGGGTGCGGCAGGCCGGCTGCAGGATGAGCTGGGCCAGCGCCGTCACCAGCAGCGTGGTGTCCGTGCCCTCGGCGCCGTGCACCAGCACGCTGCAGCCCTCCCTGTTGGGAAGGATGGATAAATAGAATTATTCATAAATACAGCCAGGATGAAAACAATCCTCCCACTGGTTGGACAATGCCCTTACCTATGGGTGGGTCCAAAAGTCAAATGGACTGTTCAATCTCACCCCAATGTACGGTTCACCCTGCACCTGTAACCCTCCCCTGAAGCATCAGGTGTCTGTGACCCCATTGGGCCAAGTCTTGTTCCAGCCCACCTTGAAGCCCCCTGATAAGGGGTCTCCGAGGGGCTGGACGCTCTCTTGGAACTTCCATTCTCTTGGAACTTCCCCTCCTCTTGGAACTTCCCCTCCTCTTGGATCTTCCCCTCTCTTGGATCTCCCCCCTCATAGGATCTCCACCCTCTCCTGGAGCATCCTCTTGTCTCTCCCCTCCCCATCCCCTCAAGCCTGGCCCCGTGCTGTGTCTGGCAGCTCGAGGCAGGACCTTTCTCCACCCCTGATAAACCTGACACCCCAAGAGCCGCCTGCAGAGCTCTCTCATCTCCATTCACCCAAACCATCCTGGAGCCCAGCGCTCCCTACACCTCCCTGTGGGCATCCCGGTGTCCTCGGGCACGGGGGGCTTGGCACCGGGGGGGGAAAGGCGGGCGAGGCTCGGCCCCCTTACCTGTCCAGGCACTGGGCAGCCAGGCAGGCCGTGCTCAGGGCGGCCTTGACGTGGCCGAGCCAGCGGCTGCTGTCCAGCCGGCCCAGCCAGCGCTCCACGCTGGGCGCGGGCTCCCCGCACGCTTCCACCAGCCTGGCGAAGCTCTCCTGCAGCGGGCGGCCCCTGCACGGGGACAGAGGCGTCGTGGCATTGTCCCTGTGTCACGGGGAGACAGAGGTGTCCCCATGTCACGGGGGGGGACAGAGGTGTCCCCATGTCACAGGGGGGACAGAGGTGTCCCCGTGTCACGGGAGGACAGAGGTGTCCCCGTGTCACGGGGGGACAGAGGTGTCCCCATGTCACGGGGGGAGACAGAGGTGTTGTGGCACCGTCACAGAGGGGGACAGAGGTGTCGTGGTGCTGTCCCGTGTCACAATAGGGGACAGAGGTGTCATGGCATTGTCCCCGTGTCTCAGGAGGGGACAGAGGTGTCGTGGCCCTGTCCCCGTGTCACGGGGGGGACAGAGGTGTCCCCATGTCAAGGGGGTACAGAGGTGTTGTGGTGCTGTCACAAAGGGAGACAGAGGTGTCGTGGCGCTGTCCCCATGTCACAGGGGGGACAGAGCTGTCCCTGTGTCACGGGGAGACAGAGGTGTCCCCATGTCACAGGGGGGGACAGAGGCATTGTGGCGCTGTCCCCGTGTCACAATAAGGGACAGAGGTGTCATGGCATTGTCCCCGTGTCACAATAGGGGACAGAGGTGTTGTGGCCCTGTCCCCGTGTCACGGTGGGGGGACAGAGGTGTCGTGGTGCCATCCTCGTGTCACAGCAGGGGACAGAGGTGTCATGGCCCTGTCCCCGTATCACAGAAGGGGACAGAGGTGTCATGGCCCTGTCCCCGTGCCACAGAGGGGACAGAGGTGTCGTGGCGCTGTCCCCATGTCACAGCAGGGGACAGAGATGTCATGGCGCTGTCGCTGTGTCACAGAAGGGGACAGAGGTGTCATGGCATTGTCTCTGTGTCACAGAAGGGGACAGAGGTGTCCCCATGTCACAGAAGGGACAGAGATGTCGTGGCACTGTCCCTGTGTCACAGAAGGGGACAGAGGTGTCCCCATGTCACAGAGGGGACAGAGATGTCGTGGCACTGTCCCTGTGTCACAGAAGGGGACAGAGGTGTCGTGGCCTTGTCCCCGTGTCACAGGGTGGGACAGAGGTGTCGTGGCCTTGTCCCCATGTCACAGAGGGGACAGAGGTGTTGTGGCCCTGTCCCCGTGTCTCAGGAGGGGACAGAGGTGTCGTGGCCCTGTCCCCGTGTCACAGGGTGGGACAGAGGTGTCGTGGCCCTGTCCCCGTGTCCCAGCAGGGGACAGAGGTGTCATGGCCCTGTCCCCATGTCACAGAAGGGGACAGAGGTGTCATGGCCCTGTCCCCGTGTCACAGGGTGGGACAGAGGTGTTGTGGCCCTGTCCCCGTGTCACAGGGTGGGACAGAGGTGTCATGGCCCTGTCCCCATGTTTCAGCAGTGGACAGAGGTGTCATGGCCCTGTCTCCGTGTCCCAGGGTGGGACAGAGGTGTCATGGCCCTGTCCCCGTGTCCCAGCAGGACGGCAGCCGGTCCTCACCTCTCCAGGGCGCGGTGCAGCCGCTGCCACCGCGGGTAGCAGGAGCGGGGCTCGGTGCCGCCGCCGCTGACGCGGGCCTGCTTGGCCGCCTGCGCCGAGCGCGTGTCGACGATGACGCCTCACTCGCCCTCGGCCACGACCGTCCCCAGGAGCTGCTCGTCCTCCAGGCAGCGCCGGCGCTTGGGCCCGGGCAGGGGCTGGCTGCTGCGGAGCAGGGCCTGGGGAAACGGGGCACGGCCGGGTGGGACTCGGGTAAAGAGAGAAACGAGAGTTTCCAACCAGGCAGAGGCCTGGGAGAGAGCTGGAGAAAATGTCAATAATTCTTTGTCTCTCTTGTTCACATTGTTTATAGTTAAGTTCTATCACTGTGTGTCAAGCACTGTACAGCAATGCATGAATTGTTTTCACTTCAGGACCAATGGAGTTGGTCCTCACAGAGCTCTGTATAAAAGAGCAGGGGTATTTTGAATAAACCAGAGTTTTACTCTCAAGTTTTATTCCATTGGTCCAATGGAGTTGGTTCTCATGGAGCTCTCTATAAAAGAGCACTGTATTTTAAATAAACCAGAGTTTTACTCTCAATTTTTTTTTTTTCCATTGGTCCAATGGAATTGTTCCTCACGGAGCTCTGTATAAAAGAGCAGTGTATTTTGAATAAACCAGAGTTTTACTCTCAGTTTTTTTTCATTGGTCCAATGGAGTTGGTCCTCACAGAGCTCTGGATAAAAGAGTGGGGTATTTTGAATAAATTGGAGTTTTACTCTCAGTTTTTTCCCATTAGTCCTCACAAGCTCTGTATAAAAGAGCAGTGCATTTTGAATAAACCAGAGTTTTACTCTCACAGCCTCCTGATCAGTCTCCTCATTCCCATCCTGCTCCACAGTGACATCTGGGCATGTCCAGCCTGGAGGAGAGAAGGCTCCAGGGTGGCCATAAAGAGCCTAAAGGGGCTCCAGGAGAGCTGGAGAGGGATTTGGGACAAAGAATGCAGGCACAGGACACAGAGAATGGCTTCAAACTGGCAGAGGACAGGGATGGGAGGTTGGGAATTGGGAATTGTTCCACGGGAGTGTCTGAAGAGGCTGGAATGGAATTCCCAGAGCAGCTGGGGCTGCCCCTGGATCCCTGGCAGTGCCCAAGGTCAGGCTGGACAGGGCACGGAACAAGCTGGGACAGTGGGAGGTGTCCCTGCCATGGCAGGGGTGGCACTGGGTGGGATTTAAGATCTTTTCCAACCCAACTCTGGAATCCTGTGAAGGGGGAATTCCCCATTTCTGAGGGGCCCGGGGGCAGGGGGGCTGGCAGAGGGGCAGAGGGAGATAACAGAGGGATATGGGGGTTGGCAGAGGGGCAGGGGGGTTGGCAGGGGGGCA